AAGCTCGCCCGCCGAGCATAGATTTTGCCCCACATACCTCCCCCTCCCCCCCCCCACACACACCCGTTTTCCTTTCACCACAACATACCCCCCCCCCCCCGCGCGCCACCCCCCTCCCTCACCCGCCCGCGCAGATCGCGACTGCAGCCGCTGGCAACCCTCTGAACGTCACGCCCGACCTCTCCGCCCACGTCTTTTGCACCGCGCGCCGCGCGTGCGAGCGCTTCACCTTTCACGACGAGGTGGTTGAGCTGCAGCCGGGCGACACGGTGGCCCAGATGACCGAGAGATCCGCCCCGATTGAGCCGAGATCGAGAGCTCTGCAGCAGGGCGGCACGGTGCTACTGCTGCCGCCCTCGCCGCCTCCCACCCCACCGCCACCCACCGACCCACCGCCGCCACCGCCACCACCACCACTCCGCCACCGCCGGCGTCACCGCCACCGCCGCCACCGGCGTCACCGGCGTCACCGCCGCCACCGCCGCCACCGCCGCCACCGCCGCCACCGCCGCCACCGCCGCCACCGCCGCCACCGCCGCCACCGCCGCCACCGCCACCAATCAATGAGTCCATGATTGACAGGTGCTGCTTCCGTACGAGCCGATCCGCCACTTGGTCCTCCCGACGGCCAGCGCGCCGCCGCTCTCACGCTCACTCGTAGCCAGTGATCGGTGCTCGCAATGTGGTCAGGTCCTTGACGGCTCCGTGCAGCTCACCTGACCCGCCTCCTCGGCCGCCTTCGCCTGCCTTCGCCCGCGCTTGTCCCTGCTGCTGTTGCTGCGGCGGCGGGGCGTGGTTTCCTTCTGCTTCGGCTGCGGTTTCGGCAGAGGGAATGGGTGTGTACTTTCGGTGGCCGAAGGGACGCGGTGTCAGTTGGGGCCCTGAGCCCCCGCCCGCACCCTGCACCCACCGCACTAGTCCCATGTTCTCCTTCTCGCGGACACACAAACGAGACATACGTCGCGTCGCCGTCGGTGGACGGTGCGTGTCTCCCCGCGTACGCCACCATCATGTCATACGCTGACGCCGCTCCCACCGAGAGTATCGACTATCGTGTTTTTTCGGCCGAAAGCTTACCCCAAGCTGCAGACGACATGTGCGAGCCACCAGCCAGCGCGGTTGGGGCTGCGATTACGCGGGGTCACAGCGGCGCGGCTACTCGGAAGACCTAGATGACGCGGGCCGTACGGGCTACGGCTCTTACGGCGGCGGACGAGAGCCCACGTGTACCAGGTTGATGTCAAGATGTGTGTTGAGAGGGGAATGACCCTAGGAGTAGGACTGACCCACAGTGTCACTGACTGCGGAGGAGCGCCGTGTGCTGCACCCACGCGCCCCGGTTGCCGACGCGCGACAGCGACGCGCACGTCAGCCTAACTGACGACCACCTTCTCCGCATTGCCGCCAAGGCGCCAGTACCGGATGTGCTTCTCGATGTGCGTGGCGATAGCGCAAAATGACGTCAGTCCAGCTTGAAAGTAGACCAACTGCCACGGATCGTGCTCGATCCATGCTATTGCCCACATTGCATTGCAGGCCATGAAGCGGCAAATGGCGAGGGTGGAGAGGAGAGGGGACTTGAAGGTGATGATGGGCCCCAGAAACTCCCAGATGCCGTCATGGAAGCATTTGAGGAGCATCTGGAGGAGGAAGGTGCCGGCGCAGGCCAGGCCAAAGTGCAAGTACTGGTCGACTCCTCCGCTCTTGGATGCCTCAGCCTCCGTGTCGAGGAGGGCAAACTCGATGCCATGGCCGACCAGCATAATCGCCATGCCTTTGAACATATTGAGCAACACGAACACCACGAAGTGAGCATCCGTTTTGTCGATGAGCAACGGCTTGCCCGGCGAGGGCCCCGACTCGAGATTGCAGTGCAGGATCATTAGCGCAATTATTAAGCCGGAGAACATGCACTTGATGAAGCGTCGCTGCTCTAGCGTGAGGTTGACGAAGTAATCGACGTCGTACACGCCGTCTGCTGGTGGGTTGTGCCTCGGCCAAGGGACGATGACGAGCTGTGTCGGGGTGGAGGGGGAGGCAGGGGGCGCATGTCAGAGATCATGCAGGCTCGGCCGCATCCGCAGCATGCTGCTTCACACCTGGAGGACAGTCTCGCCGATCATGAGCATCATAAACTCATTAATGCGCCGGGCGAAGAATTTCTGGTTCATCGGGGTGCGCGTCTCCCGGTACGTGGCCTCGGCCACACTCTTATCGTGCTTGATCTTGTGCCATAGGAAGCTAGCGCTGGCGCGAAGCAACCAGATGAAGGGGAAAACGACGAACAAAGCCAGCATAGCGAGGTACGCGTCTTTGTTCTCGGGATACGATGCGCACCCCCACGCTGCGCCCAAGCAGGCCAGCTGCAAAAGCAGGGTAACAACCATGTCCCCCGCCTCGCGGCGTTCGTTCGGTTTCTCGCACGTGAAAGCCATCTGGACGAGAGGAGAGCGGGGGGTGGGTGGCGACGAACATGGGGAGAGCGATGCGGGTGCCTCTCACCATCAGGTAGCGTAACATCCACATGCTCAGGATGGCCATGCTGAAGAAACAGAACCACCACCTGCCACCCGTGAAGGACTGTGAGTCGCTGCCGTAGCGGGTTGGGGAGGGGAGAGGCAGTGGGACATCACACCAGGTCTGGCCGTTCTCCTGGAGCTCTTGAATGTTGTGTATGCATGAGGCAGTATTGATGATACAAAACAGAATGGTGACCTCGATGGCCAGCTGAAGCTTTCCCCTGGCCTCGTATTTTGCGTCCCACATGACGTCCATGACCCTGTGACGGCACAGAACGAGCTCGGCATCGGGCGCGAGCGGCAGGTAGCGTCAAGGATATATCCACCCCCTTGCGCTCTCTCCACACAGGGGCTCTCACAGCAGTCCCGTGAACGTTCACGGGGCCGACTACAGCGCACGGGATTTATTTTGGCACCAGAACGAGTAGAGGCAAAGATAGAAGATGAAGACGTGGCCAAGAGACACATGAAGGCCCACGCACTCCACCTCATGGTGTGCGCTCTCGAGCACGCGCCCGTGGGACTCGTGGGTCCCAGATGCATCGTGGCAGGCTGAGCCGTAGCAGCCTGCGGATACTGCCTCGTATGAAGTGCCACCATCAACGCATGCGAGGTAGCCGTGATGAAGCATGGCACCGATCAGAAAACAGACCCCAACGAAGACCAAGTCCAGGAACAGGGACAGTCCGTCTGTCTCCATTGTTTTGTCAGGCTCCCCCCACCGCTGCCGGGCTTTTACCTTTGCAAATAGTGCGAGAGTGGGCTGCTCCTCTTCCTCTTCCTCGGTGGCTGCCTCGACGAGCCTATTCAGTTCTTCTCTGCCCTCCGCAGTCAACTTGTGCTTCTCTGCGAACGCGTCGACGGCTTCCATGGCGACTACCCGACGCCGCGTTCGTCTTAGTTGTCCCGCCCTTTCGCCTCCGCGACCTGCCGCAATATGGTTTCCGATGTGCCCGCCGATGGCCCCAACTTTTGAAAATCTGTGGATGCACCGGGGCACACACTCGACAAGACCATCGAGAAGCATGAGCCGCGCTGGGAGATGCTGGAACTGCTCGCCGGCGCGGTGGACTCCCTCCCCTCCGCCGGCTCGGTCGCTTCCCTCTGGCCAGCAGAGGTGCAGAGTCAGCCGATGTCAGCGGAGGTTGAGCCGAACGCACAGGTGCGACGATACTTACCTCGCTTAGGTGCGGATGGAGGCGGCGAGGAAGCTCATCAAGAACCACGTCGCCGTGCTCAAGGACATTACAAACCCTTCCCCCTCCACCCAGCGCGAGCTGACCCGCGTGCCGCGGGCCGACGGCGAGGACGTTGATCGCTTTCTGCTCGAGCTCGCGCGCCGTCTGCTCGGCAGCCGCGCGCATGGCCTGCCAGGGGTTGCGTGCGCGATGGGTCGAAGCGTGTCATTGTTGCGGTGTAGGTGGGCGAGGCGCGGCCGAGAGAGAAGGAAGGCGCCGAAACCTCCCCCTCGGGAAATCCCGCACACTCTCGGCTTGACATCGGAATCGTAGGCGGACCCAAAGTGGCGCATGCTGCGCTCTTACATCCTGGCGGACGGCGCCACACCCGGCACCGCCAGCGGTGAGGCTGGCCAGCACCCTGCGGCGGCGCGTTGCGAGGCTGCGAGGCGCCTGATCAACAACCACAATGATGTGCTGGACGACATCTGCAACGAGAGCGATTGCAAGAACATCGTGGGGGAAGCCCTCACCCAGACCGAGCTTTGCCGCGTGCCCGCCGCCTACCGCCCACAGGTGCAGATTTGGCCAAGCGATGTAGAGACGCGTCGAGACTAGCTGAGACGCGCCGATATCAGCCGAGACCAGCCGAGACAGGCCGAGACTCGAGATTAGCCGAGATTAGCCGAGACTGAAGCTCCCACCCACAGGTGGACGCCATGCTGCGCGAAACCGCGCGCCGCCTGTGGGGCAAGAACCCGTCGCCCGAAGCCTTCTCGCTCTGGCAATGCCTCGAGGAGACGGCCGAGGGGGTCGGGGTGGCGGAGGAAGAGGGGAGGGCAGTGTGGCGGGCTGTCGCTGTCTACCTCTCTGGCCGCCTCCAGACGACCCCAGACCAAAAGTCCCCTCGCAAGCGCGGCACTCCTGGAAGGGCACCGCACCCGCCTGCACTATCGGCCGCCTGCCGTGTAGGCCTGGTCGAGAGCCAGAGATGAGCCTCGGCGCGTCGAGCGCATTCTTGCGCGTGGTGACAGAGGTGGCGCCGGGCGGTGTGGAGCGGACCGGGGTTGCGTGCGCGATGGCTCGAAGTGTGTCATTGTTGCGGTGTAGGTGGGCATGGGGGTCCGGCTGGCGCAGGAGGAGACGCCGTCGAGCTGGAGCACCCGCATGCCTAACAAGGCTGGCGGGGAAGAGGCGGGGTCGTTGGAGGTGACTCTAGCCTTGAGCTGTCTGTGCGAGATCCCGTAGGCGGCAGCGACCACGATGCCGCTCGACCGGACGGGCGGGCGCGGTGGTGTGTGGGCGGTGTTGCGCGGGCTGACGTCGCCTCGCAGGCTTGGCAACACGCAGGCCTGGCCAGTCGACGAGTGAAGGGTAGGCCGAATGTAGTTGTTCGGCGGCCGGGCGGCGTGTGACTCTGTTGGCCCTCCCCCCTCAGCTGCTGGGACAGGCCAGCGCTCACTTGGCATGTGCATGTTTTTGGGGACCGTGTGTGAATGCTTCTCAGAGATTGCGCGGGGTTTTTTCGAAATAAAAAAGATAAATAAAACGGACTCCTCTACTAGAAGATGGGTAAAAAGGAACAGGTCCCCGCCCGTGGCCGTGCGATCTTTGTGCAGGGTTCTTTGTGGGTGTGGTCGGCGACTAGCCGGGTCGTCCTCACGATGCCACGATGGGGGACTAGCCCTAGCCGTCTTCCACATGGTCCCTCGGGCCCCTGCTGCTCCTAATCTCTTCGTACATCCTCCTGCTGATCTCCGCAAAGTCCTGCTCCTTCCCTCGTCTCGCCCTGCGCGTCTGCCCCAACTCTCCCCCGTCGTCTGCCCTGCGTGTTTTTCGAACTGCCTAATAACTGCTTTTTGTGTTTGATATATACGTGGTTTTGGGTTTGCACGGCCGCGGTCCACAGTGTGTGTAAAGTCGCCTCTCTAGTGCCGTGTACTTTACTACATCGTACACGCGTTTGTGGGCACGACGTGTGCGTCTGCGTGCGTTTGTGCGTGTGTGGTGTGTCGTGTCAAGTCGTGTGTGTTCGAGAGAGAAGACTTTTAGCAAAATAGTAAATGAAAGAAATATAACACTCACACGTCACTTTGGGGTGAGCGCCCTGTTCACGCGCGCGCGAGACGTGCGGACAGGGAAGCCAGGTGTGCGCACCCGAGACCCAAGGCAGCGTCGCGGCCTCAGGCCGCAGTCTTCGCCGCCGCCTCTGCCGCCGCCTTCGCGTCAGCCGCCTTCTTGTCCGCGGCGGCCTTCTTCTTGTCGGCCTCCTTCTTGGCAGTCGCCCGATCGTCAACGCGCTTCTACGGGGTGGCACACCGCACGCGAGAGTCGTGAGACCGAGGGTGTGGGAGATTTGTG